GCCGGCTGCTATTAACGTGACCGAGCAACACAAGTCAATGTATCGCAGTAGCTCTTTTCTGGTTTTCAAAGAGCAAAACGTGCCCCCTGATGTGACTCACGACACGTCATAAATTACACAAGCGTTAGGAAAGACAACCCAGACAACGGAAGCAGAGATGAACGTCATTATACAGCTTAGATCAGTCAGAAATATGCATTTCCTCTACGACTCCCGTTTTCAAACGGGCTTCAATGAGTCGCAGATATTACAAGCCCAACTTTGTGAAGGTTCAGATTCAGATTATTGTGACGTTAAACATTATTTATTCACGTTCCACTTTGCTGCTGACTCAGACAAGTGTTTCAAATGCATGCTTTTCAGAAGAGTCTTTGACCTCTGAACCCTGACCCCAGCTCAAGTCTGCTAATCTGTTCCGTCTGGAATCACTTCAACATGATGAAACCAAATGAATGAAAAAAGAAAATGTACATATCCATTCTGCTCTTTCCTGTCCTAACCTAAAACTTGTTGCCATCTGGTTTTAGAAAGACGTTCCTTCTGGTAACAAGCCGTTTTTATTCATATACAAAACTTTAATGGAACAACAAAATTATTTTCTTCCACAAATAAGTTGACATGTTGACAATAATTTGTCAACATGTCAACTGCTGTGCAGTTGACATGTTGCTGTGCCTTGGACCTTTTCAATCCAAGAGGAAAATAAAAACACTGTAGAGGAAAAACAACATTTTTAAAAAGTACAAAAAAAAACAAAACACAAAACCTGCATACAAAGACGAGTACTTTGAAGTACAATTGATTTTATTGATTGATTGATTTGTCGCCACAGTTACTAACATGTACGTGATTCACACTGTACAAAGGCATCAGTCAGAATAAAAGGAACTAATCTATGATGTAAAGCACTTTGAACAGCTTTGTTGCTGAGATGTGCTATACATCGGTCGATTGATTGATCGATTGATTGATTGATTGATTGATTTTCATACACCATGGCACAGTGAAGGTAACTACCAATAATTTAAGACCATACTGAACGAGACAGACATTAGATTTCTGCCAACTAGGCTTTAAATCCAAATTCTGCGATTTATCTTGTCAGTAGGTTTGACTGTAATGTACATATGAGTTTCAATCTGTCTTTATGATGGGATTGTGATGTTTGAAGCTGATTTTGCATTCTGATGGATGAATCAGAGCTGGTCTGGTATTGAGGTGACCTTTGTTGTTGTGATTGGGAAAGACGTCGCTTAAGTTGAGTTGAAATGTTGGGAGAAAATATAAACGTAGAATCTGCTTAGCAGTACAAAGCCATAGAGAGAGCAAGATGACTTTCACTACAGTCTCATGCGTAAAGGTTTAGAACCAAAACGGGGTGAACTAGCATTTGACTATTGATTTACAGTGTGCATATAGTGAGCACCGACCTCTGTTAAACATAAGAAAGCTTGGGAAGATGACAAGAAGGACATATGCACGCTGCAATTTCTTGATTATTGTTTGCAACTTTTCAATCGTATCCGCTCAGCGTGCCCGGCGGGGGCCCCGCCTCTCCCTGGCCGATCCGTCGCTCCATCTTTCCCCGTCCAACTTCTGTTACTCTGCTGAGGAAGTTATTTGTTTAGCAGACATCTTGGCTCATGGCGCCCGTCATTTGTGTGTTCCTTCAAGTTGTACGACTCTGCCGCTTTGAACCCGAGCAGGATGCTGGAGATGTTTTGTTCTTTCAGCCGGAGCTTATCGTACTTTGCCAGGCTGAGGGGTCGGGTCCCTCGGCCGTCGCCGCCTCCAACAACGATCTACCGGCGGGCAAAGAGGGTATTCTCATAATCTGTGCATCCATCTATGATTATATGTAAATCCTGTCTGATCCCAACATTCAGCTCAGGGAAACAAATTGTCAAAGGTATTTAACATTTAGCAACAACTTATAGAGCATATCTTTTCTTATGCAAGAGGAAAAATAAAACATAGATTTTCTTACATGTCGCTTCATTTCATTTTGTCGTCTGGATGGTCAAAGTTCAAGCGTTTCATGAGAAATACTGATAATTTTTGTGCTACTAAGTGTGTTCAAATGATTTTAAATTGGGTTTCAATCTAGAATGGGATTTTTTTTCTTTTTTTAAGTTGTGTGAGAAATAAAAAAAGAATCAAATAATCAAAAATGATATTTTTAAAAACATTTGAAATACATATAATTCTGTGAAAAGTATTTTCAACACTTTTTACGAGTTGCTTCAGTCAAGAATTAGATTTTTTTTTGTCAAGTAAAAAAACTAAAAAAATTAAAGGATTTTTCCTGACACATTTCTGCTGTTTTCTTTTTTTTTTCTTCACACTTGTTTTGGATCATCAAATGCCAGGCAGTGGACTCAGTGTTGCAGATGAACAGATAAAATTATTCTTTCTAAAAAAAGAAAATCTAATGTCTGAGTCGGTATCATTGGCTCAGAATAAACTTTCCTAGACATGTTAGCGATCTCCAGCCTGAGCAGTCTGAAATGATGGAAGTGTTTCTGAAGGTTGAGGGAGAATCCCTACAGATTTTAAACATTAAGTCAGTAAAGCAGTAAATAACCGTCTCATCTGCGTAAAGACTGACTTTTAATGAGACAGAGTGGCTGAGTGTGAGACAGACTCATATATGGCAATTTAGTTTTTCACTGTACAAATTTTCTTTTTTTCATTCAACAATGAACAAAAGAACCTCTTTCAGATCTATTGTCGTTTGTTATGAATTGTCGGATACCTTAAACATGGGGGTTGAGTTTTTTCAACAGGAACTTGAACATCTTCACTGGAAACTGTTCCCATAAAAAGCATCCGATTCACATTCACCAACTACCATTTCTATTCAATCGTTTGCTCAATATTGGTACACTAAATCCTCAGCAGCGCTGCCGTTCCATGGATGGAATGACAATACCTCACATTGTTTTCATTCAACGGAAAAATGATATCAGATGTTTGAAACCGTTCAGTCTGGCAGCTCGTTACACCATAATAAGGTTACACATTTGCCTGTGATTGGTGTGTAACCTCCATACTCTGTGAAAATCCATGAAGTCCTGACCCACTGAACACATCCATGACTACACTTGCCAAGTGTGAGCGGATTATGCTCTGACGGCCAGATAATCTTGTCACACAAGCTCAACAGACTGAGCAGATACAGTTGCAGGCGAACGCTGGCGCCCTTCCACGATAAACAAAAGCACCTCTGGAATAACGTGAAACCAACATGTGTTAAGTCGCCTTTTACTGTTTATTCTATATTTAAAGGGGAAATATAGCTTTTTTTGAGCTTTGCATCATGTTATAATTTTATATAAACATACCTGGTGTGATGCTTTGACTCTTCCATGCATATTTGATTCTCCCATGGCAACCGCCGCCTAAACACTGGCTCTCACAAAGCACCGGCCATTTCCACAAAGCTCCACCCCTCCCCTGTAACTTCCCCACTCGGCTCCTTCAGACTAGCAGCAGCAATTAGCAAACACCTGGTGGAACTCCACGTCTTCTGAGTCCATCATCTAAACTAAACCAACGCTTTTAAATGATTCAACAGGTGAACACTGCTGTGGTGACTTCCTGAAGTCCCGAGTGTCGGAACGAGTAGGATCTTCTTAAAGAGACAGAGGCCCAATTTCAAGGTGCCGAATTTCAAAGTCAAATTTCTTTTACTTTATGTTTGATTTATGTTCAGCTGCATTTTTAAAACAACTGAAGGCAACACTTGATTGTGCTATAAAATGGCACTAAGTGCTGCGCCTTGGAGTTCTGCTAGAACGGTTTTCTTAGTTCCTTTCCCCTTTTCTGCCATCCAGACCATCACACTGATCGATTCGGGGGTTGCATTTTATTACATTATCATTTTTAGATTTTACATATTTGGCAGCTGTGCTCACAGGACGAAAATAAAACTGGACACTAATTGTATTTTCCTTTAAAGGCGGATATCTAAAATCTGCCTTTTAAGCCCTCCAACCAGTTCTTCCATTTAGTGAGTCAATGGTGTGTTGGTTTCATTTGAAATTAGCTGTGTGGTTGACGAAAAGCTTGAAGGCGCCTGTTCTAATCACGGTCAAGCGGCCGGCTTGTAACATGACTGTAACATGACTGTAACAGTGAAATCATCAAAGCTAACTTATTTTTATGGTTTTATTTCATCGTCACACTGCAACAGTGTGTAGGCGAACGTCCGACAGGAGCTTTTAGTTGAATCAGGATTTCCCAGGCGTTGTTTCAATGAGACCAGCACTCGTTTCCGGCTCCGTCTCTTCACACCCTCACTTCTCAGAAGTGAAATTTTTCAGCCTTAGAGCTTCCTCCTTGCTTTATTTGTTTTCAGTATTTCTGAATTCGCTTCGAAAGTAACCCAGATTGCTCGAGTCAAAAAGGGAAGAGGTATTGAAAGCCAATTTGAATGCAAATTGGTCTTTTTATGTTGTGAAAAGAGTTTTTGTTTAGTTTTTTTTTCTTTCTGCCTCCCAAGCTCCCAATCTTTGAGCTGAAAATGAAAAGTTACGTTGCTGTGAAAAGCCCAATAGCAAATGTGTGCAGATTGCCGTCCTTCAGAGAGCAGAGGCTGCGACTCGGAGGCCCTCTGCGGTTCTGAACGGGCCCGTTCGGTTTCGTTGAGTGCTGCAATCGCTCCCGAGCCAACATGAAAAGGCGTGCTTTTACTTACACGTTAAGCCCGCTGTATAATTATGGTGGAAATCTAATATTGTTAAATACCGCGGTGTGAATAATTTCCTCACACAAACAGACAGTTGAGCTTTTCCAACACAACTCAGCATTCATGCTTCTTGCTTATCTCCCTCCACAGGAAAACTCATTCCGTTTCAAAGTGTCCTCTTTGACAGGCAGTAGAAAAGGAGTCCTGAGGGAAGCAGTTCCTCAAAGCTTGTCAAATACTAACTTTCTCCTCCTTTTTTTCCTCCCTGTCTTTCCTGTTTTCTCTCCTGCTGTCACCCGCTGCGCCTCAGTCTGATGTCAGGTCTCGCCGCCCTGGACGCCAAGTGCTCAAGTCGCTTGGGCATCATGACCATTTCCTACTACCTGTGGACCACCTTTGTTGCCGTGGTGGTGGGCATCCTCATGGTGTACATCATCCATCCGGGCGGCGCCGCCCAGAAGGAGGACTCCGAGGACAGCAAGAAGCCCATGACGAGTTCTGCCGATGCGCTGCTGGACCTGATCCGGTAGGAGGCCGGCGAGAAATCCATTGTGAAATGGCGACCCTGTAAAAGTATCGATACCGGCTGAGCTGAAACTGCTGAGGATGCTGATTGATAAACCTGACAGGGACGTTCCAGCAAAGACTCGCAGATGTAATTGCTGCAAAAAAGCGGCTCCACAAAGTATTGACCCAGAACACAAGTGAACGTGGCATTATAGTGCAGCCAGCACCATGGCTTTGCCTCTAAACATCCAGACAAGCAAACTTTTAACTAACGGTGCATTCCCACCTCCTGTTCGGTTCACTTTCATCAAATTCTAGTCCATTTGCATAAAAAGTCCGGTTGGTTTGGATAGGAGCGACTCTGCAATCAAACTCTGCCTAAAAACCGAGTTCTGGGTTCTGTTGACGTGTTTTCTGATGTGGATTGAATGCAAATGTGAATGTTATGTGAACTGGAGATCGCTCCAAAACGGCCCACTTTATCCCACTTCCAAAGACTAAAAGTGGACTAAAGTGAAGAGCATTCTGGGTAAATACAACCAAAACAAACATACTAGTCTTAATGGTTTTTGGTCTTTTACCAAAGACAAAAGAGAAATCCTCCAGCCACTAAAATCTGACACTCCTCCCAGTTTTGTTTACATTTCAAGACAAGAAAAAGTCTTCTCAGTGGTTTTGTGTTGTTTCCTTCAGTGGTTCTTGGTGCAGCGCCTCCACAGGCGAGGAGGGGAACAGGTTTTCCTAAGGTTTGGTTCGTTTGATGTATTGCAGGGTTAAAACAAAACGCGTTAGCTGAAAATCTAACCATTTGTACATTGTGGAACCCCAATCGTCTACTGAACTATTAGTTCAGCAGACTCAGATTAACACATTATAAATCCAATTGAAATTATTTTGAGGAATTAAACAGAAAAATTAAACATGTGAAATAACGCAGCCTTAAAAGATCCACCAGGCTCTTTTAAGACCTGGAAGCTTACATGCGACTGGGTTACTGTGCTAAGATAATTAGCGCCGAAGTCTGGTTGTCTTGGAGGTAAACCTGGGTCAGGCCTGCTGAGGAAAACGTCGGGCGGTGGACTGTGGCCAAACGCCACCAAAACACAAGATCTGGAGTAAAAGACAGACAGACGTCCATGTCATTTAAATAAATGAATGCTTAATTAGGAATTTAGCCTCAAGAGGTTTTGCTATAAAAACAGAATTAAAATATATTCCATTTTGCCTGACATTAAGCAGGAATTTAAAAAGAAGGAGGGCTATAAACTGGCCGAGCTCATAAATCCAGCTATGCTGATCATGTGCAGTGGTGAAGCTTGGTCTATAATAGTGTGTGTATGTGGGGGGGGTGCGTGTGTGTGTGTGTGTTCACAGAGCACAGCTGGGCTTTGGATTTATTGCGCAAAGCTTCTTTACTGCCTTCATCTAACATGCAGCCGTGGTCTGCTGCAGCTGTATCCTCAGAGAAAAAACCCTGACCCTCGCACGGCGGTGTGTTTGTTGTGAGCGAACACGCGCCGCCACGTTATATAAACGCGCATGAATGGAAGAGCGCCGTGTTTCTCCCTGAGCTCTGAACTCAGAGTGGCTCATCAACTACAAGGCAGGAAGGAGAGGACACAGTTTCTCTCACTAACTGAATCGGATCAAAGGACTTCGTGGAGACGCACTCGGTCCCACCTGATTGTTTACTAAACTTTCTTTAGAATACAGTGTGTCTTAATCTGCCGTAGATTACTCATCTCTGACTCGGCAGGGGCGTTGTGGGATTTGCAACCGGTTCCAGTGTTTCAATCCGGGTCGGTTTGTCACCTCGGCGCATTTTACGAGAAGATCTCCCGCTCACCTACAGAAGCGCGGAGGCAACTGTGCAAACAGACTCAAAGTCAGTCTGACTTTTCTCGACGAGGGCCGGTGCGCCTTGAGGGCCCCTGCAGGCGTGAAGGGCTCCAAGACCCAATAAGATTTTCAAAGGACTGAATGACAAACAAGTCAATTGAGCTCAAATGCAAATGATGGAAATAAAGCACTAAAAAGTTACTTTGCTTTAGCAAATCAGATCAAGAAGTGAAATGTATATTTCATTTATTATTATGTGGAATAGTAACAGAAACTGATGATCACAGCTCATAAAAACCTTAAAATGTAGTTTCCTCAACGATTTGACTATTGCATGATGAGCGGCTCTTCCTAACCATGTGGTCAGACACAGACAAACCTGATCTGTGTCTGTGTCCTGATCACATCATTTGAACAGAACCATAAAAGCCTACATGTCATATCTGACTTTAAGTTTAGTGCTTTGAATCACTTCAAGTGTTTCTAAATTAGCCTTTCCATCTTCACTCAGCCTCTGCTTGATATCTCTGGTACTTCTGCATGCGTCGCCATAGTTACACGTTGGCTGCCTGCCCTCATGAACCTCAGTAGCATTTAGTAGCATCACTGAAACCGCATCAATCAACACAAACCGCACAACAGCCGACAGTCACTGACCAATTTTTCCCACTTTTTCCCCCCAGCAACATGTTTCCAGCCAACTTGGTCCAAGCTACATTTCAGCAGGTAAGCTAATATGAGTATGACATGGTAACTAAATATTTTAGAAAGGTGTTATTTTAAGATTGTGCAGGTATTGATTTCTTTTTCCCAGCAAAGTTAAGGTAGAAGATAAGATGCTACAGCATCTGTGCTAAGCTAGCAGACAGTTAGCTTATAGCACAGCGATTCACAGGAGCTGCCGCCAAAAATCCTCAAATTGTTGAACTTGCTTCCAGCTGCTTATTTTAAAAGTTCAAGCGCGACACATAGCTTACCGTGCTTTAATACAGACAGTGGAAACCATGCTAGCTCAGGCTAACATCCACCATCTTGCTTATTTCTGCTGTTGGCGGGACAACCAATCGGCGACAAGAAACACAGAGCCAGCTTTTGGATTGGCTAGTTTCGTAAACAGTTGTGTCACATTGATCTTCGCTTCCTCAAGTCGCATTTTTCAATCCAAATATTTTTCATCATCATCATATGACGCAGATGCCAGAAGCAATCAACTCTCCAGATTTTGCTGATCAGTTTTAAATGTCCCTTTATCTCAAAAATGTTGCTCTTTACAAGAGATCTTCTTGTTTCCTCTGACTAGTGGGTAATTATCATAAATTTGAATGTCTGATTGATTTGAATACATGTCATTTAAATCTCCAGTTATCTTCAACGCCAGAAGATAACGGCGTGTCATTTTGAAATGAAAGTGATCCTAAAAAGGCAGAAATAAATCAATGTCTGTCCCAGTGTAGTGTAGAATCCTGTTTTGATTATGTGTTTGTTGTGTGGATCATCATGAATTAGAAACATCACACTGAAAAAATGGCACACAGTCGGTTGTTCAAAAAAAAACAACAACAAAAGAAGAAAAGGACAGATCCCAGCCATGTGGTTCAGCACAATAAATCGGCTCCATAACGCTGATTTATTTCATTCCGTTTTGACGATTCATCTGTTTCTGTTCTTTTGTCCTCCAGTATCGGACGCAGAGGGTGGCCGAGCTGATCCCCAAGCCCACGGTGGCCCAGCTACTGGACGAGACCACCACGCGGCGGGTCTACATCTACGGCGTCCAGGACGACAACGGCACCGACATCCAGAACTTCTCCTTGGACCTGACGCCGCCCCCCGACGTCATCGTGAAGACGTCGCCCGGGACCAGCGAGGGCATGAACGTTCTGGGGATTGTTATTTTCTCCGCAACTATGGGTGAGCGCTTGGCAGGCGTCATATTTACCTCTGTATACATAAGCAACGCAGTTATTTTCTGTTTGTCTTTTAACCTCTTAATATAGGAATAATGCTGGGAAGGATGGGACCCAATGGAAGCGCGTTGGTCAACTTTTGCCAGAGTTTGAATGAAGCGGTTCTGAAGATCGTTGCCATCGTCATTTGGTACGAGTCACAGTGGAAACAGAAAGTTCACAAAATGTGCCAACACACCTTTACTCAACCCAATACAATGGTTATTAATATATATTTTTTGATATTTTGAATTTTCACATGTCCACTGAAGACGTATATTAATGAATCCAGAGTGTGTCTTATGTAAAGGGATGTGTAAATGGTCTAAAAATGAAGTTTCTCCCTTTTTTATTTTTGTACGAGTCACTCCTTCGAAAGCACTTAGAGGCCACAACAATGTCATTTTTTAATAAACATTTTAAAGTGAATTTATTTCTGTTTTTGCCCAATGATGAGCTGAAAATGCAACGTTTTACAAAAATGCTTAGGGGCACCACTAGAGAAAACTATCATTTCTCAATATGGGATTTTTTTTTTCCCCTTCACACAATAGATTTCTTGGAATAATATGTCGGAGTATTATAAAGTGTGGCCCAGAGGAAGCTGAAGGCCTGGGGAATAGCATAGTGCGGCCCCAGAGAGCAGTTCAAGAGCGGGTAGTAATTTGTCCCTCCAGCAATTTGATCTGCTGGGGGAAAAAAATAAATAAATAAAACAGGATGAGAGTTTTAAGGACAAATTTATTTCTTTTCAAATGAAAAATATTAGGGACAGCATCACGTAATTTTCTTTGGCACGGCCATTATTTTTACCTTCTTATTGTTGTGAACGGCTGGAAATATTCAGCCATTCATTTCTTCCAATACAAAAATTGATCTGTTGCAGGAACTGAAAACGCATTAAAGACCCGCAAACATTTGATCCAAAAACTCAGGAAACTGAACACCTGAGACCCTTTGTCAGACCTACAATCATTTGTTCATTTCTTCGTTTCATATGAATACATTTATTTGAATTTGCTCCTCAGCAGGTAAATTTAAAAAAAGAAACATTTCACAATCAAATTATTTTGTGTTGTAATCCTTAGAGTCCTTTCAACTTGCTGGTTTTGGACGCCTCTGTCCTAAAGACTTCAGGATGTGTGTGGTGAATTTATTTCAGGGTTTCTCTCAGGATCTCGGCCAGCTCACTCCGCGCAGCGTTGCACTTTTTGCTTCTGTGTTGACCTGAGGTCAGTCTTTCCTACGTTGATCTTACGTTGACGATAAAGCAGTCAAATCGTCACCAGTACGTGCCGAAAGCGTTTATCACCGGGACGTTTTCCTTTGGTTCGCTGAGCAATAATCACACGAGGAATGAGAACTGACGGTAAAAAAAAAGGATAAGATAGCTCTCTGCCAGCGGAGACATGTCGCATTTATTTAGATCGGTGACCTTTAACCTAAATCATGAGACGCATTCCTACGGTTCAGACTTGTGTCTGTTTGTGCTGGTACCAATCGTGGGTTTGAATGTTTTGGACCACAGATTGTTTCGAGAGGATCAACCAGATTAATCTCTGCTAGTTTGCAGGGTTATTATAGTTTTGGGTCCTCAGTTTCTTTCGTTGAGACTTTTTGTTGTCAAATTCAGTTCATTTTAATTCGTCTTTCGAGTGTTTGCTAGCTTTTGTTAGCTGTTGTTAGTTAAATATTGTTCAGCTTTTATTACTTGTAGCAGTTTTAGTTTTTTCACAGTTTTTGTTCAGTTTTATGTGCAGAATCTTTTATTTTAAACTTCAATTTGTTTTGTGATTATGTATACACTGACTCTCCTCTCCTTCTCCTCCAGGTATTTCCCCTTTGGCATCGTCTTCCTCGTTGCCGGGAAGATCTTGGAAATGGACGACCCTTCGGCCATGGGGAAGAAACTGGGCTTTTACGCCATCACTGTGGTCATGGGCTTGGTGCTCCATGGCCTTTTCATCCTCCCTGCCATGTACTTTTTCATCACTAAGAAGAGTCCCATCGTGTACATTAGAGGGATCCTGCAGGCTCTGCTCATCTCTCTCGCCACCTCCTCCAGGTAAAGACAAAAACGTGACCCACCGGTTTTGCCGTCTTGAACTTCGTCCGTGTCCTCCAAACATGTGGATGTGTTTTTGGGACACCGGTGTGATGCCGGACAGTTATTGCGATGTTTTTGCCCAGAATTATAGATCGATCAATCAGTGAAACCCAGAATCCATTTCAGACGTCACATTGTACTAGCAAGATATTTAAAGGCTTTAAAGTGGACGGAGAAAAATACGTCTGTTCACTTTATTAGAAATCAAAGTAAAAAAATATGAAGAAATGCATTTCTTCAATTAGATAAAGATATCCCTCTTGCGGGATGATGAGATGAGATCATGTAATTGTCACTAATGAAGAGCTGTGCGTCATCAGCGTAACTGAAAATTAATCTTCCTGGACTACACCACCAAATGATTGGTGGGAAGCGTGGGACCGAAAAGCTCAGCCTTGTGGCGCACCGTATTTTGAATAGGCCGTTCTAATGAACGCGTTTTCTGTTCCCGACTTCAAAGCAACTCTAGAAATTGAAATCTGTCTAAAATGTAAAAACCTTTCAACAAAGACGGTTGAGATGGATCTTCTGAGTTCTGAACTTCAAAGCTTGCCACTGTCAAGCTTTGAAGTCGACTGTGGCTGCGGCAGATTGTGTAGATCCCTACGCAATCTGCGCCGAACAATTCAAACTCTTTGCAGTCGGCTAAGCAAAGCCACAAAGTGAACCAATGTGAAACCCTCTGGAAACTCACAACGCCTGTGACTAAGAGTCGATTCAGTCGGGTCTGACAACACGAACTTAAACACTTCTTTTAGCATCTTCAAACCCTTGACATTTTGACCACAGCATCAGTCTGTGTAGCGGGTTATGATGGTCATAAACTGCGCTAAGGGCTGGTACTGCATCAGTCCATGCACTGTGCCTGGATCTAAAACCCACTGGATTGCTGCCAGGCTTCAGATAAGAGCATAAAACTGTTGATCTTCAGTTAAAGTCGGAACGAAAACGTAACTTTTAGAGCTTTTGTCTCTCTGCCTTAACGCCGCAGCTCTGCCACTCTGCCTATCACCTTCAAGTGCCTCCTAGAGAACAACCACATCGACCGGCGCATCATCCGCTTCGTGCTGCCCGTCGGGGCCACCATCAACATGGACGGCACTGCTCTCTACGAGGCCGTGGCGGCCATCTTCATCGCCCAAGTGAATAATTACGAGCTCGACTTCGGGCAGATTATCACCATCAGGTAAAGTTGAAACATCCCTCAGACTTTTTCCCCGCTGAATCTTGTGCTAGGAAATGTCAGCCTGCGGGGCGGCGGAGGGGACGTTCGCTTGGTTTGCCCTTTACAAGCAAATGATCCAAAGTTTCCTCATGGCAGGTTCTCTCACTTTATATAGCTAGGAAAGCTACATGATTAAATATCTGCTTTGGGTCGAGTTCAGCTCAACATATGCATGCTTTCTCGTTCAGCATGCATTTTATGTATTTTGTGAATTTAAAGAAGCTTCTTAGACCTTTACCGGTTCACACCTGCTTCAAAGTTTGCTTTCAAATGAGAACAGGGAGTTTAAAGAGCTTGATATTTACCTTCAGGCAGACTCCTGTGTTGAATTTTTTATTATATATATATATATTTTTCTTCCCCTCTCAGCAAAGACTAAAGGTTAAGATGTTTCCGCTGGCGCGTTGCTTTGTTAAACTACAACTGAAGGGCTTCGTGTTCAGGCTTCTAAATCCCTGAACAGAAAGGCCCCGGGGCCACCTTTCACTCTCGTTACGGTAAAAGCCGACCGTGGAAAGTTTATCCAGTCAAACTGTCGAGCTGCAACTTCAAAAGCATGAGTTAATTTGCTGCATGTCCAGCTTACTTTTTTATGTTTAACACAACTGAATAAACTTAAAATGGCAGCGTTACGCAAAATTGACTCTTTGTTTTAGCTTAACATCATCTTATAATGTTATTCCCTCCTTAAAAACAGAGCTGGGCCGTTGCCTTGATTCTGTCATGCATGAAAATCCTTGAATCGCCGTGGCAACCATTTAGCAGGTCAAAAACCCCTGGGAGAGTCTAGCCCCGCCCCTCAAGGACGAAACTCCTCCTTTCCTCCTTGGAGCTGCAGTTTCCAAGCTTTCGAGCTTCCCCACTCCTTCAGACTAGCCAGCAGCAATTAGCAAACACCTAGAAGAACTGAGCTGACTGTAGGAGCTGCTGCTCAGAGCAACACCAGTAAAAAACACAAAAGGGTTAATAGAAGGGGCAACGTAGGGGGAGCTTCAGAAAAAACAGGAGTTTTTGAAGACACAGTGGCCCAATTATCATTAGGGAGAAAAATAAAGTTTGGATCTTGGCTCACCTGTTTTTTATTTATTTATTTATTTATTTATTTATTTTTCCCTCTCAGAGCAAATTTGAATTTTCTTCAAACAAAACCAGAATCCCAGAAAGTCACAACCTGACCGGGTTTAGCAATGTGAAGGAATTTAGCATCACACGTCAAAATCTGAATTATTAATACTATTATGGGATTGAGTAGATTCTCGTATATGTAAATGTCACACAGATTACGGCTGGCGTGAGCCTCTTAGTCTGATCTGATTTCAGAGGAATCGGAACTCGGTGATGGTGCAGAACATAAAAAAAGAGATGAAAGTAAAAGTGAATGAATCGAGCGCTCAGACTTCAGGAAAAGAGGCGCGAGCAAACGTCCCGCTCCTCACCCGACCGGAGGACGTGTTGGGCCGTGATGTCGCGAGGGTCAGACCTGCCCTCATGGCCGCTCCCCCTAATCCCTCGGCTGTAAAACCCACATGACCCGCATTACTCATCTCACATGTCACGACAGAATTATAATCGTTTTCCTCTCTGTCCCTGCGCCGCTTGGCTCCGGATCACGGAAGCCCCTCCATCTGTACGCTGACCCGACCCGAAGCGCCACTTTCAGACAACGAGTCCAACCTGACCGCGCTTCAAACCAGATGTTTATGTAATTTTAAAAAGGCCTTTTTTTTTTTCTTTGTCTGAGATGAAATCAGGCGAAACGTTTTTCTGGTTTTTTATCATTGCCAAAAATATTCAGTTTGTTCAAATGCCAGAATGTCAAGACCTGCACTGTGTTATGATTGCTCTTCTTTTAAACCCATTTGGGAAAGTCTGAGCCTGAGAGGCTCTTTGGATCTTCTTAAAAACCCTGTCTAAAAATAATAATAAAAAATTAATAGATATTATAAAAATAGAAATGACGCATTGTATTTCAAAGCAGCTTTCAGGACGTTTAAGGTCTCTGTACAATAAGAAAAAGCAACAATTATAGAAACGTTCAGTTTTTACAAAAAGCCACAAAAAATTGGTTCATCTGAAAAGATGTTTTTAAATACAATATCTAATAATAGATGCAGGGTTTTTTTTGCCTGTTTTTTAGTTTATTGTTTCGATATCTGCATTTCATTTCATCCTAAGTGAATCCAAAGAGGTTTGTTCTGATTGGACGTCAGGTTGTGAGGAAGGAAGGCCACGTTTGTTTACAAACGCGAAGTTTCAACTTTATGAAAAAGTGGAGAAAAAAAAACAGACATCATGAATTTGGAATCGTCATCAGTTTTATGAGACGAAGCTCTGATTCGTGAACGATGGAAGCTGCATGTCGCCTCTTTGTAGGTAAACTTGTAAAACATAAACACAGACCTTAGATCCAACTGCAAAAACAAAATAGTAAATTAAGGGGAAAAAAACTAAAGAAATGATAAGGGAAAACAAAGCAGAGCGAATCCTACATTGGTGGCAAGTTATTCCCCGTCAAAGAGGAAATAATTAAAGACGTTAAAACTGATCAAATGCTGGGGAAGATTATATCTAAAAACTTCTTTAAGGGCCTAGTCAAAGCCCAGATTTTATTCTTCAAATCTTCAAGGTTGTTCAACTTCTTGAACAATCTTAATCTTTTTCCTCACTGGAAGATTAGCCTTCTGCTAACCAGACTTAAAAAATAAACGCACTGCTGGTCGGTTCTGCAAATGGGCTGCAGACGTTTCAGGTTGTTTTTCCACCCCCAAAATTTTAAATACTCCTTTAATGTAAGGCATTTTGTGCCAATCAAATAAAAAAAATAAAAAAAAAGAAACTCTCAAGCAGGGTAACCTTCAGTTAGAAGGCAAGAAAATAAAAATCCTGCTGGAAAATAAATGAGGTAAGTACAGAGAACATTCTGGTGTTTGAAAGCTCTCCCCCCTGCTGGTCCAGTTTGTTGGGGTTTTTTTTTTTTTCCCAGCAGCCTCTCACTGAGCTCAGAGAGCTTTCACACACCTTCCTATCTGACTCTGTGTGCGTGCGTGTGTGCGTGCGTGTGTGCGTGCGTGTGTGTGTGTGTTTTTCTTTTCCTAACGACCCGCCGATCCGCTCGCTTTCCCAGCATCACCGCCACGGCCGCCAGCATCGGCGCGGCCGGAATCCCGCAGGCCGGACTCGTCACCATGGTGATCGTGTTGACCTCCGTGGGTCTACCCACCGATGACATCACTCTCATCATTGCTGTTGACTGGGCCTTGTGAGTAAAATCTATTCTCTCTTTCTTTTTTTTTTTTCTGCTTCAGAAAAGCGTCATGGAGTCCAGGGAATCTTCTAGGAACGGTTCTGGTTCTGCTGCTGGTTCTGGCCTGACTGAGCAAAATGAGTCTAAAAAATCTCCCTTTGCCTTCAGAGCTTCCGTGCATTCAAGATACATTTTATAATATATGTTAAGCGTCGTGCAGCTGATGCTGACGCTCCGATCACATCTGGAATAATAGAGCAATAAAACATTCAGTCAAATTCTAACAAACGTTTCTTGCACTGGAATTGGACGACATTTTAAACATCCAAAATAAATCAACAAAACAAGTAAAATGGCCTTTAAAGCTGAATCCTTCACAAAACACAGATCTAAAAGCTCCAGACTGAAGACTCTTATCGTCCAGTTCTCAGCAGAAAGAGAGAAAAACAAGAAATCCTGCAAATACAAGAGGACTTTGTTTTAGTTCATCATGCGGTTCGTTGATTTATTGCTGGCTGTTCGCTCTCTTGGGTCGCAAATATGACACGTGAAATGCAAATGATGAGCTAGCGTCTGTGGGGCCCAGCGCCCCTCAGTTTACGAGAAAAAAAACAAAAATAAAAAGATTAAAGAGGAAAAAAAGAAAAGAAAAAAAAATAGAAATGTGTTAAAAAGTAATACACACAAGGGCACTTTCTTTATGTCCAGATAGAAAGAAAAAAAGAGGACAAGCGCTTTAGCACGTCCAACTGTCCATAAGTGTGGATCCCTGGTTGTAGCCTTGGCCTGAGGTTAGCATAGCCGGTCCAACTTGAAATTGTCTGACAAATGGGGCCCTGCTGGCGCCTGCCAGCTCGACAGAACGGACTCGCTGATACCGCTGCCAAACAGGCTCATCCGGCCTGATTCCCCAGCAGAGAAGATGTGAGGCTGTGATGCAGAGCAACACATTCACACTCGCCACGACACCCCCGTGGCTGCACACATCCTCAAGGACTTAAATTTATGTTTCTAAAATTATGGATTTAAAATGAATTCATTTCAATCAGAGAAGGATAAGTTGGCCTTAAACTTTGTGGTGGCAGAACTACTTAATGTCTGAAAAAGTCTTAAATTTGAGGTCAGGAAACCTGCAGAAACCCTGAGGAGCTGGGCATGTTACAGTCAACCATGGACATCTCGGTACAAATGATTTTTTAAATCTATTTTCTTCTTATTATGCCTGCGATGACAATGTCAAAGCAACTGTTCTGTGCGGCGATGGCCATGCATGCATGCTTAACAGCTACAACAACAAACGGCCTCTAACTGTGTTGTCCAGGGATCGATTCAGGACCATGGTCAACGTCATGGGCGACGCTCTGGCCACCGGCATCATGGCTCACATCTGCAGAAAGGATTTCGTCAAGGAGGGAGAGCAGGTGAGAAATGAGACGGGTCAGTGTGACTCGGGCGGCACAAACCTCGAACAGCCGTCTTGTTTTTTATTTTAAAGAAAGAGGGATATGACATATGGATGCGGAAGAAGAAAAAAAAGGGGGAAAAAAAAGAGTAAAGTTTCATCTGATGGAAGGTGGGATGCAGGGTTTATGTAAACACACAGATCGTTGAGAGGAAACGCAGCAGCAGTGGGAGGCCAAAAAAAACCCAAGAAACACCACTTTCATCACCCGCCGTCCCGCCGGTAGCTCCTCCACACGGCCTACAGGAAAGGCCAGACTCATTTGTTTTCTGCGGGAAGAAACAGTTTCACAGTCGTTAGCCGCAAAGGAAAGTAGATTTCAAAAAACGCCAGTTTTTTGTTTTTTTGGATGAATCATTTCAGTGCAGAAATTAGAAAAATGTTGCTTTTTCTGTCATTTGTTTACAGTCGCTGCAAGGCGACGTGGTTATGTTATGTTACTCCAATATTTAAAATCTGCGGCAAGAGGTTGTTTAAAGTGATTCCCGGATCGTTTCAGCACCGCCTGGGACCAGGGCCAAAATAAAACCTCATTGGCAGTGGTACAAAGTTTTCAGAAGGTTTGAGATTTTTAGGACGAGTTAAAATATTCATGGAGGTACTAGACTACCAGGGAAAAAAATGCAATTATAGTCAATGGTTTGTTTACCCGTACAGAGCAACCGCTGACGTGTAAGTGAATGAATTTATGGAAGTAAAAGCCAAGCTAAGGTCATGACCTTGGAGACACAACCTTATCGTGCTACAGAGTTACACTATGTGCCTGACAAATATATTTACGACATTGTAGACGATTTAAAGAGACGATTCAGTCGCTTTTTGTTTTGTTGTTTTTATTTATTTCTCCTTCAGGTACCCCTGATCTGTGAAACCAAACCCATGATAAGCATCCAGCAGATGATGACGTACCAGAACCAAAAGAACGGCTGCTACCAGCCGCCGCCCGGCAGCCGGCAGGACCACATGTCCCCGGACGTGGCCCGCCTGATCCAGCTGGAGGAGGGCATCCGGCCGGTGGAGAAGAAGAAGCATGGCCACGGCCCGCACCACAAGCGAGAGCACAGAGACAAGGACCACTGTTCTGTGGACATGAACGGACTGGAGACCAACGTCTGAGAGGACCGGGCCGGGCCAGACCGACCTGCTTTGGAGCTCCGGTTCCGACAGACAAAAGCAGAGGGGAAGGCTTCGCGTTCCCACCGAGACTGGAGCCAAGACTGGAACCAGAGGGAAAATTTTAAATTAACAGACTTCTTTTCTTCTTTTTTTTTTTCTTCCTTTTTTTACATAACCTGTATAATGACCCACATTATATTCTTGATGTTTATGTGTAAATATTTATCAGAGATGTCATATTTAGCAGCAGCAGCGACAGCGTGCTGCGAGACTCACAAACCGCAGATGAATAAAGCAACAACAACAAAGCAAAGCAGAGGAAAGTTGTCAGATAATAATGAAAAGCCTCTGGATCATTCTGTGGACTTCAACCCAAAAATACAAAAAAAAAGAGAAAAAAAAAAGCATCACTTCATAGATATTTTTATTTATTATGTATTTGGAATGTTTTAGCATAATAATAACCGGATTTTATATATTTCTTTTATTCTGTTGGCGGCCGCAATGGGAAATGTTTTCTCGTTAAAGACGATGTCATTAAACATGCAAGCAAAGAAAAAAATGTATTTCCCAATGATTTACCAGCAGGTGTGGCAGAGTGACGTATCTAACAAAGAAGCAAAAACAGAACTTTTGGCTCAAATTAAGAAGGCTTAATTAAGTTTAAATAGCATGCATATATGGGAATAGTTTTTTTTTTTAAGCCCACTCACTTGTTTAAACACAATGCATTTATTTTGAAGAAAGCGTTTCGCCGTCATAACGGCAAAGAGAAAAATATGAACGCAGGAAATCTTGTTTGAAGGCAGAGAAATGTGACGTGAGCCACCGGTGCAGGTCAACCCTCAGATTGGGTCGACGATGTCTGTGAGCATCGGCTGTTCAAATCTTCAGCTACATTTTTATTTTGGTCTTTGACTAGGACATCCTGCAACATGAAAATGCTTTGAGCAGCACCGCTGTCGGCGACTGTCGGTGCAGGCAGAGGCCAAAAGATAACCAGGTGGATTTTATTTAGGGGTATCAGAGTGGAGGGACTAACCTTCCCCACGTTTATCTGCCACTTCATGTCACTCAGTGACAAAGACTTGAAAAACAGTGGAAAACAATTTTAAAACCGACTTTTGGTGCCTTTCTAAACAAAATTGTTTCAATATTATTAAAATGTAAAGTATTCAGATTTTTGTAGAAAACTGATCTGTAAATTATTGTTTTTTTTTTTTTTTTACTCTTCAAACTTTTATAAATTTTCTAGTTAAAACCTTTTGAAAGTTAGAAAGTTGATTTTTAGGGGCAGAAATGACGATGGCCTCAATACACCGCCGTATTAAGGGTCAAAAAATGATGATCTGGTAAAAAAAAACAGCAGCAGCACCCATAGTGGAATAGGCAGCAATGACAAAAATAAACATTAGAAATATACATAAAGTGCAAACGATTTGACAACAAAGTATGATAGTCAACACAGCGGCAACTTTATATTTTTTTTAAAAAGAGTCACATTTTAAGACTTAAAACACCGGAACGGCTGAAAGGATTTGTAGTTTCTTGAAGTGGAGCGGAAAGCCTTCAGGTGAAGAGATAAAGAGGAAGCAGGGAAAACTCCGGCACCGTCAAACACGATACTAAAACTCGCAGCAACTTGAACGCCTCAGGATCCAGCAGAGGTCTTTGTTTGTCCTCTGCACCAAAGATTTGTCATTTACTTACATTTACTTTTCAGTCTAAATAGTGTTATAAATAACAAATGTATTTAGTAACAGACACTAGAGTTGTGTCAGTCATTTTGTCTCTGTGTGAATCAATTTCCTTCCATCTGAGGGTGGAAGTTGAGGTCAGGCGTTTGAAAATTGGACTCAAACAGGAGCTTCAACCAGAAAATGACCCCAAAAAGGAAAACACAAAAAACTGGTTTTGGAAGTGATAAAAGCGGGTCAACGTTGAGCTGCAACCCCCAGATGAAGCATGACTTTAAATGCATGGCCATGTTCTGCTGCTCAAATCAGCTTTGTTGTTTTGAAAAATACACAAAACTGCACTTTGTAACAAGGTCTTCTCAGAAAAGTTTAATTCAAATGATTAAAACCTGAAATTATTACATGATTAATGTCTGGAAGGAATATGTGCAGGCTTCAATCTGAGGCTTTCTGGATGAATTCAGATCTTTTATTATAAAGTTTTACTTAGCTCATACTTTTGACTTTGCTTTCTGTTCCAAAGAGCAAAAAATATCCATTAAAACTGCAAAGACATTCAGAGTTAAACGCTTTATTTTACAAACATTAGATCTTTTGCATCCACTTACTTAGAATGATTATGAAAAATTTAAAGTCAAGATCAACGTCTAGCTCCAGGATCGGTTCGGACACACTGTGCTTTTTAATCTGTGACGACATTTGATCATTTCTGCAGGACCAACAACACGAATAACAGCTCTGCTTGCTGATTAAAAGAAAGAAAGAAGGAAAAAAAAACATATAAAAGCAGCTTCACAGACCTCCTCCTGAGACAGAGCCGGGCGCATAATCAAAGCATTTCATTTAATATTCAATTAATTCAACATGAGCCTAGTTTTCTATGTTAGGGGCTGCACAAAGAGCTCGTCCGAGGCTTCACAACCGGGCTTTGACTGGCGTCACCTGGAGGTTCTGCAGCTTCATGGCCATGCCCATGTTCCCAGTGATCTTCAGCTTCCCTTTGAAGAACGCCTGATGCAGCCAGAGATAAGGGGACAAAAGACGAATAGTCTGTTTTAATATTTCTTACAAGCAATAGCCATGACATGTGGACCTTTTCACAGAAACGGCAGGTCGCTGATGACATCCGAAACAGAAAGGTTTTATTTTTAATCAAAATCCAAGCTTTCATCACTTTATTTTTTTATATTTTTTCATCATTTTTTTTTGCCTCTGGCTGCGTTTGTCACTGATCAGACTAAGGAGTTCATTTTTCTCCACCGTGTACTTGAGGGCACATGTTCCCCGCATACTGATTCTGGTTTATAAGACCTAAAAGTCTCAGAATTCTCTCTGCCTCATTGCAAGTCAACTAGGAAAAAAAAACAAAATAAAAAAATCCAACTCTGTCAAAATGGAAAACACATAAAACAATAAAAACGCAGCAAAAACCTGCGTACACAAGTTAGCACACCCTTAGAATAACATCTTGAACTAACTTTTAAATCAATTTTTGCATTTAATATTAAAACCCCAGAGGGTTTTAGGGCTGTAAATGAAGGACTAGTACCAGAGAGCTAGTCCCAGCACTAGGACTAGAAAGCTAGTTCCAGCTAGCTCAACAACTAGCAATAGCTTTCAAGGACTAGTCTTTTGTTTACAGTACTAAAACCCTCTAACTAGCTAGCTTTCTAGTCTAGCTAGACTAGCGAGCCAGAAGTAGCTAGTCTTGCTAGCTAGAAATAGGACTAGCTTTTCTAGTCACAAAACCTGCCTCATCAGAAAAGAAATAATTACCAGATTTGAAAGAAAATCTGTGGGACAGATTAGAGGAAATGTGGGCAAATATACCAAAAGTTGTTTCAAGACACTAGTTGAAGGGTGTGCAGACTTTTGCATCTAAGTTCTAACTATTTGTTTCCTTTTGTTCAACGTTTTCTTGCAACAAAGACAATTTTTGAAAAAAGTATTTGGTATATTCTTAGCGCCAGACTATCGCTGCATTGAATGAAGACTTTAGTGGTTCTTGCATTCACTAAATATATAAACTTAAATAATATTAATTGAACTGAAACGAGAAACATTTCAATTGGTTCAATGTGATGTATTTGGGCACGGACACACAATCCAAACGGGCTTTCAGCGAGCACTGTAACAGCAGGCCAGTGTCAAAGGTCACTTCATCTCAGTTCAATTCATTTCTGGAAACTGGGAGATTGCTTTTGAAATTTCCCCCTTTCTTATCACATCAACAATGAAACTGAGAGCAAGATGGCAAGCATAGTTGCCATGGAGCAGATGTGTGTCCCCAGACCATCTCACTGTGGAAATATATATACACACACACACACATATATTGGACCGGAAATAAGCAAACACACCGTTTGTGGGTTCAGCTTTCCTGTCATGAGATCCAGCAGATCCTTGTCTCCAATGGACAATGTGCAGTCTGCCGTTTTAGCTGAAAAAAAAAAAAATTCTCAGTAAAACTGATTTACTGCAGCAGTTTCAGCACAAACGCTTGAAGCTGAGTTCAAAAACCACTTGGCGTTTCATATCGGAGATGAAAAGCTCATCTCGGTCCCTTTTATCGCCGTACTCGGAACAGAAGGCTGCGATTAGCATTTTGATGAGTTTCGGAGCGGTGAAAAGTCGCCCTGGAAGGAATCACGCGTGTTCTAGTGGATTCTTTTAATTATTTTGGGAAGGCTGAGTCAGAGTTTGTGACTCATCCGGCACATTTCAGACCACAGTGATGTTTCAGGTCGCGTTTCTGCTGATTTTCAAGTCAAGCACCTGAAAAACCCTCCGCCTGGAAGCCAATAAATGTTACATGTTTCTAGAAAGCTGAATTCTGACTGATTTGAAAGTCTGGAACGTTTTCCGCAGTTGGATCCAAACACTTCAGTGCATTTCTCATCTGCACAAAGACAAAACGGAGCATAAATGCAAAACAGAAGGATAACAAAGACGCAGTTTTTATTTGAGTACATAAAACATAGGTTAAAACACATAAAAAATTTCCTATGGATCTGCTGCTTCTGACTCTTCAGTCAGAAATAGCCAATCACAGTCAGGAGGAGGGTCTTAGCGCTGTCGATCATGTTTGCGTGCATGCTGCTCACACCCTAACCCCTTTCTCTCTGCTGTGCTACAACAGAGCCTCTTATAAATGCTAAAGCTAGTTAGCATGGCCGCTGATGACAGTGGATAACGGTAAGTTGTTTCTCCACTGTTAGCACATTTAGCAACGTTAAGACCCGCCTCCTGGCTCTGATTGGTTGTTTCTGGTTGCATTTCTTTAGATGGCAATAATAACTCAAGGGATGGGGGTGGAGACGGTGGGGGGAGGAGGGTTTCCACAGATCATCTGACTCATATTACACTGTCATACTGAAAAACATATTTCTGTTGTGCACATTAAATCTGGTATTCTGCATCTCAGTACGGTTTGTTATAAAATTCCTGTTTTTTCCAAATAAAATATCATAATTTGTAGCATTTATTTTTACGATGATGCATGGTAATGTAAGCGATGTTGGCCCCCGGGGCACCGAGCGGGCCGGGACCTCCCCTGCGTGTGCGGAGCAAGAGCCGCCGACGCTCCGATAAATCGGCGGTGACTCACTCTCGAGCTGAAGCAGCGGAATCAGGAGGTGCAGAGTGTGTGATGTCCTGCCAAGTATCACATTTATTATTTCTTTTCCCAGTTCAACGACATGCAAATAAGGAGGAGGGACGGGAGAGGAGTTAGATGCGCCTCAAACACGAGAAACAAAAGTAATTAAAAGCAGATCCAAGTCCCTGACAGGTTTCTTCACGGCTCGTCCTGCATTGCCAGATTTTTGACCCGAATGTTGATGTTCACACATTGTCTTTAACTGATGGCCTTTTGCTATAATAAACTTCTTATTATATCAAAGGCCTCCGAGGGGGGCTTGTTTATCCCACACTGCACCGTGTTTTAAATGAAGAATTAACGATGCTCTCCGAAAGAAGCTGCACTTCGGCAGGAA